TTCAAGTGTTGTCTGATCTGGCTACTGGTGAAATTGATTATTTGCGTAATTTTAAAACATAAGAGACCATCAAGAGGTTGATGTTGCTAACGGTGTGAAAGCGTTTGTGAAGCAATGATCATAGGCAATTGAGAAAGTTTAAAACAAAATCATTTGGGGGTCTGGAATGGATTAATTCAATTGATATTAGTTCTAATGGGCAAAATCATTTTTTAAAACAAATCACTTCTCAAACAGCCTTCTAGAATGAATTAAGTTTGAAAACTGAAATTCCACTGTATTTCCAATGAAGATCAGATAAGGGCACCAAATAACCAAGTCATTAATTTGTCTCAATTCCAAAGAAGTAGAAAAGAAACTGTTTACTCAGTGGCTTTAAATCTACAGCAGGGATCTCCCTTTTTTAAAGTTATATGAGATCTGCTGAAGCTGGTTTGGCTCAGTGGTAGAGCGTCGGTCTGCGGACTGAAAGGTCCCAGGTTCGATTCCGGTCGAGGACATGTACATTGGTTGCGGGTGCATCCCCGGTAGGGAGTGTGCAAGAGGCAGCTGGTCGATGTTTCTCTCTCATCGACGTTTCTAGCTCTCTATCTCTCTCCCTTTCTCTCTGTTAAAAATCAATAAAGTATATTTAAAAAAATAAAATAAAGTTATATGAGATTTTATTTCAAAATGAGATTTTTTTTATAACAAATGATTGGTTAGCCCTAGTAATTTTCAAATGAGCAAAAATTTATTTGGTTCTATTATGTAGAAAATAGCATAGAAACTGTCCATGAAGAATTACAAAATCGAATAACAGCATAAAAAGGAATATATGTGGAGCAAGCATAAGTTTGAGAAAATTTAAGCAACAATTTATAATTATAAACTGTAGCAATGAATAACCATGTGGCTATGTATTTTTATATTGTTAGAAGTGTACTTTCAGAACAAATACCAAAAAAAAAAAGAAAAATGTTCATTCAAATTGTAAATGCACATTGAGTTTTGTTGGATGTTGCCAAATTTTCCTCCAAGAAGGTTGTATCAATTTGTATTTTCACCAGCAATGTATGAAGACTGTTTACATAGTCTCACCAATAGAATGAGATATTAAATGTGTAATTTTTCTCCAATCTAGTAGATAAGAAATGATTCCTCCATATATTTTTAATTTGTATTTCCCTAATTATGAGTGAGCTTGAATATCTTTTCATATGTTCAAAGACCATTTTGAAATCATTTTGTGCATTTTGTGCCCATGATTTTTACCCATTTTCCTTTAAGTTTTCCTATTTTAAGAGTTCTTTATCAAGATATTAGTCCTTGTTTATGATATATTACAAAAATTTTGTCCCAGCTTAACAGTAGTCTTTTCATTTTTTGTTTGTGTGTTTCCTTTGTTTTGCTATGTGTGGAAGACATAGTAATGCCCTAAAAGATGCCTATGTCCTAATTCTCAGAAACTATAAATATACATGGCAAAGGGTATTTTATAGATATGATTAAATTAAAGACCCTCAGATGGAGAATGTTTCCTGGTGCATTCAACTATCTTAAATAATATCACAAGAATCCTGAAAACTAGGAATCATTCTTAGCTATAATGAGATGGAAATATAAATGTAGAAAAAAAAGATCAGAGAGCTACAACATGGCTGGCTTTGAAAATAGAGCAAAGGGCCATGAGTCAAGGAATGTAAACAGCATCTAAGAAGCTAGGTAGGCAAGGAAACAGATCCTCTTCGAACACCTCTGGAAAGCAACTCTAGAATAGGGATCCTTAACTCAATGAGAGAGTATAGCATAATCACTGGTTTATACATTTTTAAACTACCATATTATACTTACTTTTTATCCCTTATTTTATGCCCCTTCCCACTTTGAGATTTGGATACATATACTTTTTGCTGGAGGTAAAAACAATATTACCCATGGGTAGCACATGCTGTAGGAAGCAGATGAAATATTAAAAATCACCGGTGTGTTGAAATTCAATGGAAAAGACATGAACCCCATTGTTTTATTCTGGATCTCAGACCCCAGACTTCTTGTCTTCCCTATATACCACCACCCACCTCATAATACCATCCTATCTTAGAGCTTTAATTAGCATCTATAAAATATAAGCTAACAAAGCACAGAGAACGGAAATAACTTGCACACTACTATGAAGAGGTAGAGCTGTGTTGTAAATTGGGTAGTCTGGCTTTGGAATCCATGTTCTTCAAGACTGTGCTTAAATCCCACTTCTGCTTTTTAATTTTATAAGAGCTTTTCTTGAACTATCATTTAAATATGCTAACACTCATCTGTTTTTAAGTTTCAGGGATTTATATTAAATATACAGACTTATGCAACAATAACCAAATGTGAATTTATAACATTTCCATCACTCCCAAAAATCCCTTCAAAAATTTCCAGTCACCATCCATTCTCAGCCCTTGTCCTTGGCAACTGCTAATCTATTTCCTGTATCAATAGATTTTCCTTTCCTAGATACTTAATGCGAATGGAATCATACAATTTGTTTCCTTTTGAAAAATATATGCTACTTTTACTTAGCATAATGCATTTGAGATTATCCATGTTGTGTGTATTCCTCTTTGTTAATGATTAATATTCCCTCATATGGAAGTTTCATATTTTGTTTGTTCATTCATCATTTGATGGACATTTATATTGCTTCTTTTTTTTTTGCTATGATAAATTCATCATTTGATTGACATTTATATTGTTTCTGTGGTTTTTTTTTTTACTATGATAAATAATTCTGCTATTAATAGGTCTTTCAGTGGACATATGTATTCATTTCTCTTGGGTAGTGGAGACTTGAAGTGGAACCATAACATTTTAAGGGAAGTTTATGTTGAAACTAGAGGCCCAGTGCACAAAATTCATGCATGGGAGGGGGGTGTCCCTCAGCCCTGCCTGCACCCAGCCTGGACCAGATTGGAGAGGGTGCACACTGTCTGACATCCCTCTCACAATCCAGGACTGCTGGCTCCCAACTGCTCACCTGCCTTCCTTCCTCATTTCCCCTAATCACTTCTGCCTGACAGCCTGATCACCCCATAACCACTCCCCTGCCAGCCTGATTGATGCCTAACTGCTCCCCTGCTAGCCTGTTTGCCCCTGCTGGCCCTCCCCTGCAGGCCTGGTCCTCCCCAACTGCCCTCTGCAGGCCTGGGTCCCCCCTAACTTCCCTCCTCTGTCGGGTTGGTCACTCCTAACTGCCCTCCCCTGTAGGCTTGATTGCCCCCAACTGCCCTTCCTTGCAGGACTGATCCTTCCCATCTGCCCTCCCCTGCTGGCCATCTTGTGGTGGCCATCTTGTGTCCACATTGGGGCAGCCATCTAGTGTGTTGGAATGATGGTCAATCTGCATATTATTCTTTTATTAGATAGGATTTTAAAGAAACTGCCAAGATGTTTTCCAAAGTGTGCTTTAGTATTATATATTTCCACCAGTCATTTATGAGGCTCCTTTATGACTTAAAAACAGAGTGGGTCAATGAGATATTGTAGACTAACCTGAAAATAAAGTTTTCTCCAGGATACAGGGGAAATTGTAAATATCTAAGGGATTAGTTAGCACTACAAGTGCATTGGCAATCTAGTTCCAACCTCTATTGCTTGGATAGGGAAACTGAAAATAAAAGATGGGTAACTATTTGTTGAAGGGCACACACTTGCTTTCTGCCTACTGGCTTAGGTAGGGGTCTTGCTAATACACACCTAAGCATTCTTGCCTTAGTCAGCCTGCTTTGAGCAAGATCTAGTGTTGCTGTGCTGATCATTTGTGAGGTGTCACATATTCATCCAGTTTTAACAATTAACCAGGATTGGAGGTGCTTATCAGTTGACAATTTACAACTCAAAGAGCATGATAGGGATTGAATCAAATATAAGCAGGATTTGTATATGATATCTAGAAACAGCTCAACAAATCTAGGTCACAAATAACTCTAAATTTTTCCTTGTAGGTCCCATTTCTATATAGTTGGCTACTATCTAGGCCATGGGTGGGGAATGTCTGGCCTGAAAGCTATATAAAGCCCGAGAAATAATAATCTGGCCCTGCCAAGGCATTAGGCATGAATTAATTAATGTTTGACCAAATAAAGCAGGCTAATTTTTAAGTTGATAATTTTGATGGACTGAAAATGATATAAATATCCAAATATCCTTTGGGGGGAAAAAAGGTTCCCACCCCTAATCTAGCTCAAGAAAAGTTAAGGTTCAGAAATTTTGAAAGAAATTGGAAAGGAAACCTTGGAATAGATTATTTGAATGTATTAAAGTAGGGAAATGAGTATAGGGCATGGCAAATTGTACCCCATCCAGTTTTCCATTGAGGAATCCATCCACAGTCTCTCTGATATGTTGTCCCTATTAAGAAACCATTAGCTCTTTAGACTTGATCTCTGAGGTTTTGGATGTCTTTCATCACCTTTGCATTTTTCTGGCCAGTTGCTGTGTGTGTGTGTGTGTGTGTGTGTGTGTGTGTGTGTTTTCCAAGAGTTATCTTTAGCAAAACTATAGTATAATAGTTGCTGTGAGCAGCAGAGGCATCTTATGTGCCTGTTCATTATTAGAATAATCTTCCTACACATCTCTCCTCTTCAGTGAAAATTTTAAATTGGTTAACTTACATGATAGCCTACTGAGGAGAATTACTTTAGAAATTATTAAGCAGTAAATTAATCAGAACCTGCTGTTTTAAAGTTTCTTTAGATGGGGGTAGTAGTTAAGGGAGCTCAGGTAGGTCATACGTTATGGTAAGGTGGGATTCAGATCTAATTTTAAAAAATCTAAATACTGAATAGTGCTTTGAGAGGCTATCTGCTTCATTTACTCCATTCTTTGTTTTCATAAAGATGTGGACCCCCGTGAACCTAAACCATCAAAATCCAGTTATTCTTAGGAGCACTCTATTAATAATAATGGGAACTCAGCTTTATGTTTAATACCATTCAGTTTAGCTTGACTTCATTTTCTGTTCTCCTTACTTTTAGGTTAACAATTCATGCTGAGTGTCCCATGCATTTGGAAGATTTTCCCATGGATGTGCATGCCTGCCCACTGAAGTTTGGAAGCTGTACGTATTTTCTCACATTCTGTTTGCCTGAGTCTTTTTTTATTTTTTCAAAAGAAATTGAATATTTAATTTTCTATGCCCCTAGTAATTTCTAAAGTTAAAGCCTTTAATCCAGGGAAGGGAAAGTGGGGTTGAGTAGTATTAATTGATCAGGAGAAGGAGACAGTCTTTAATAGAAATTTTGTTCTACAAAGCAAACCTTATTTAGACTAAATTCATGTTATTAGATTGATATATTAACATCTGTTAAATTGTCCAGAAGACAGAGCTTATATAGATTCCTGAAATAAAATATCATTATATTTTTGAAATGCCCATTCTACCTCCACCTTCATATACATCTATCCAACTCTCTACTGTAAATAGTAAACAGGAAGAAACTCCGGAGATTTTCCCATTTTTACAGTATTGCTGTTGCTCATAGCTGTAAATCTGACAGAAAAATTAGTAGCTACACATCCCATTTTAAAATGAATCAGAGAAATAAAAATTGAGAAGAACTCGAGTGAGTTTCTCACTCTCAATTTCAGAGTAAGTTTTATCGGAATCATCAAAGCAATATATCAACGTCTCTGTTGATCATGTCTAAATTAGATTTAGCTCAGTATTTTGAAATAGACAGAGCATTTTATAAGACCCAAATAATTATGTTTGACATATTTTTTAATCATTGTCAAATATTTACAGATTGTGTTCCAAGCTCTGTTCTAGGAACTTGGAATGCATCCATGAATGAAACAAAAACCCTGCCTTTGTGGAGCTTATATTATAGAGGAGAGTGATCATGAAAGATAAAATAAACAATGGATAAAAAAGTAAAATATAAATTATGTTGTAAAGTGAGAAGCACACTTTAAGACATGAAATTACTACAGAATAATGGGGATAAGTCATGTATAGGTGGAGGATAGGTGTTGCCATTGAAATTTAAAATAGAGTTATCAGCATATGCCTCTTTGAAAAAGTGACTTGAGCAGAAATTGTAAGAAGGAAAAAGTGTTAATAACATAGCTATCTGAGATAGTTGTGCTCCAGGTGGAGAGAACCATCAGGAAGGAGCAAGACCATTATCAGAAAAGTGAATGATTTGTTCTGAGAGCATCAAAGTGGCCATTGTGGCTGAAGAGAGTGAGAAAGGGAGAAAGCACTAGAAGAAGATGAAACCAAAGAGCAGGCCAGGTCATCTAGAGTCTTCTAGGACATTAAAGGGCTTTTAATTTTATTTTGAGGGAAGATGGGGAATGATTGAAATATTTTGAACAAAATAATTATTTTACCTGACTTATGTTGTAAAAAACTCATTATGGCCAAAACTGGTTTGGCTCAGTGGATGGAGCTTCATCCTGCATACTGAAAGGCCCTGGGTTCAATTCCGGTCAAGGGCATGTACCTTGGTTGTGGGCACATCCCTAGTAGAGGGTGTGCAAGAGGCAGCTGATCGATGATTCTCTCTCATCGATATTTCTAACTCTCTATCCCTCTCTTTTCCTCTCTATAAAAAAATCAATAAAATATATTTAAAAAAAAGAAAATAATCATTATAAATGCTCTGTTAAAAAATATAAGTATGGGAAGGAGAGAAGCAGGGCATCTGGTTATAGGTTTTAATATTTCAGATGAGAGCTAATAATGGCTCATATTAGAGTGATAGTGGCAAAAGTAGTGACAAGTAACTTGATTCATTTTTTTAAACAAATAAGAGAGAATGTTTAAAAGTATTTAAAAGATCAGTAATTTAAAATATATTCAAACCTGAAAAAACTGAAAAACACCAGCTAATCTTCATGTGTTTAGATCTCTTAGCAAAGTAAGTAGCACTATAGCAAATCAAAGGTCAAAATTGCCAGTTTGAGGTTTATTTTGCTTCTCAAACTTATTTCCTGAAAGAGCAATCACAGGGTTTATATATTGTATGCCTATAGGCTTATTAATATAATTTGTAAGAATAGCTCACCATTAGCAACATACAGGGCCACAAATGTACACTTACAATAAGCAAAATCAACCGATCAGATCAATATGTACTTCTATACTGATCCCTGGAAATTTCAAAATTTTCAACTCAATGTGCCATCATTTCCTGCTTTTGCTTTTTATTTGACATTAGTAGATTTCTTCAAATCAGTAATGTCTCTATGTCTATTATTAAGATGTAATTCTTATAGTAAAATTGTAATGCATTTTCCATTTTCCTGATTTATCAACTACTTTTCTCAGTATTTGGTACTCAGGACAATATATAAATTTCCTGGTAAATTCCAGGAAAGAATTTCCACATAGAAATAATACTCAGGATGCTGGTTACCCTTGCTGGGGGTTGTACTTGATAAGGGACACAAAAAATACTTCTGGATGCTGATGATATAGGATGTAAGTGTGATGTTTTTGGAACAGATATCTGGACTAGAGACTTAATTTAAGCCTCATCCACATAGGTGATATTTAAAGCTATAGCCTGGAGATCACTAGGAAATACTGTGTATAGATAAGAATATCAAGGACTATTTCCAAAGTCACTACAATATTTAGAGGCTACAGAGAAGAGAATAACTCAGTATATTGAAGGACAGGACAGGTGAATTATGAGGAAACTTAAGAGAACTTGTTGCCCTGGAAGACAATGTGCATCAAGGAGAGAGTGATTTAAATTCTTAAAGTGTGCAGTTAAAATTAACCTTAAATAAACTCTAATAAGAAAGCAATTCTGGAATGGTGGAGTAAGAACTTCTGAAAATATACTCCTCCATAAATTGCCAAAATAAATTTTCTCCAAACTCTAACCAAAGGTTCACAACAATCTGAGAAGTGCTTAAAAAAAACCCAAACCAAACCAAACCAAACCAAACCAAACCAAACCAAACCAAACCAAACCAACCAACCAAAAAACACCTGGTTCTCAGTAAGACCAGGGAACCCTATTCTCATCCTCTTCTTCCCCACTCTCTTTGAGGATTTTAAATATATATATATTTTATTGATTTGTTTACAGAGAGGAAAGGAGAGGGACAAGGCGTTAGAAACATCTATGAGAGCCCTGGCTGGTTTGGCTCAGCGGATAGAGTGTCAGACTGCAGACTCAAGAGTCCCAGGTTTGATTCTGGTCAAGGACATGTACCTTGGTTGTGGGCACATACCCAGTAGGGAGTGTGCAGGAGGCAGCTGATCAATATTTCTCTCTCATCGATGTTTCTAGCTCTCTATTCCTTTCCTTTCCTCTCTGTAAAATATATCTTTAAAAAAAGAAACATCTGGCCGAAACCGGTTTGGCTCAGTGGTAGAGCATCGGTCTGCAGACTGAAAGGTCCCGGGTTTGATTCTGGTCAAGGGCATGTACATTGGTTGTGGACACATCCCCAGTCAGGGGTGTGCAAGAGGCAGCTGGGCTATGTTTCTCTCTCATCGACATTTCTAGCTCTCTCTCCCTTCCTCTCTGTAAAAAATCAATAAAATATATTTTTAATTAAAAAAAATTTAAAAAGAAACATTGATGAGAGAAACATTGATCAGCTGCCTCCTGCACACTCCCTAGTAGGGATGTGGTCACAACCAATGCACGTACCCTTGACCTGAATCAAACCTGGAACCCTTCAGTCTACAGTCTGATGTTCTATCCACTGAGCCAAACCAGTTAGGGCGAGGATTTTTTTTTTAATGATAAAAGGGTCAATCCATCAGGAAGATATAACTATTATAAAGTTATAACTATCATAAACAAGAGAAATTAGAAAATATTTTGCAATGAATGAAAATGATGCACAACATATCAAAATTTATGGGATGCATCAGTTTAAAGCAGTGTTTAGAGGGGAATTTATTATTGTAAAGCATATATTAAAAGTAAGTAAAAATCTGAAATCAAGAACAAGCCAAACCCAAAACAAGAAGGAAGAAGATAATAAGTACTGTAGTGAAATTAAATTAAATAGGGAATAGAAAAAAATTAAAGAAAATTAAAGAATATAAAAGTTAGTTCTTTGAAAAAATAAAACACACACACAAAAAACAAACAAACAAACACACACACACAAAAACAACAACAACAATCAAACAAACAAAAAACCTAGCAAACCTTTAGCTAGACAGAACAAGGGGGAAAAGAGAGAGAAGGATCAAATTACGGAAATCATGAAAAGGTGACATCACTATTGCCTTACATTAATGAACAAGAATATACATAATATACATAAATATTCTGAGCACTCACAAATTAAATAGTCCAGAAGAAATGGAAAAATTCCTGGAAACACAAAAGCTAGTAAAATTTTAATATACCTAAGTTACTATTTTAATAACTTCCCACAAACTTCAGACCCATATTGCTTCACCATTAAATTCTATCAAACATTTGAAGGAGAATTAATGCAAACTAATTAGAGAAGAGGAAGTAACCTTTCTTAACTCATTCAACCAGGTCAGTATTACTCAGATACAAAACCAAAGTCCACAGGAAAACCACAGACTAATATCCCTTATGAATACAGATACAAGCTCTTCAACAAAATCCTAGCAAGCTGAATCAAGCAACTTATAAATGGACTGAAGGCTTGGTGCACAAAATTCATGCATTGGGCAAGGGGGGAGTGTTCCTAATCCAGGCCTGAACTCTCATGCAGTCTATGGCCCCTTGCTCCTTATTACCTACCTGCTCACTCCTTACTGCTCAACTTGCTGCTCTTTAGTGCTGCCATGGAGGCAGGAGAGGCTCCCACTACCACCACTGTTCTCACCAGCCATGAGCTTGGCTTCTGGCTGAGCAGTGCTCCCCCTGTGGGAGTGCACTGACCATGAGGGGGCAGCTCCTGCTTTGAGTGTCTGCCCCCTGGTGGTCAGTGTGCATCATAGTGACCATTTGTTCCAGTTGTTCCACAATAACAGTCGCTTAGGCTTTTATTATAATATATAGATTATACACTATCTTTAAGTGGAATTTATCTCAGGAATATAAATTTGGCTTAACATCCCCAAATCAGTGAATATAGCTCTTCACAGTGGCAGTATTT